TTAGCCAGATCCAATGATATTGCATGGAATAAAGTAAACACTCACTACCCGACAGGGCGATTTACCCAACACTACTCAATACTAATTGAGTACTACCCTATTATTGTGAAAAACAAGTATTGGGTAAATCGTCTGCCCGCAAGTCACTCCTACAATTCAGTATTTGGATATCTTGTGAAATTTGATCGAATCAATAAAGTAGAAGAATCCTTATACCCCAGTCACACAGACGAAGAATGAGCTGGAATGCCGTCGGAATGTGTATATACCTGGGTATTCGAAGTGCATCATGGCTGCATTCTGTGTGCATTCCAAATTTTTTGGCCCATTCACGCTTATGCACAATAATTTCGAGGTGCATTCGAAATGGAGACATATCAAATGACATTCGAAGTGTATTCGAAGTTACTCCATTCTCAATATTCTTACGGCATTCCAACAGCATTCGAAACATTCAGAACGAATCCTAGGGAGAATCCTGCCAGAATGGTCCAAGTGCGACTCGAATGAGCTGGAATACTGTCGGAATCTGTTCCGATATTTAAAGAGTTCAAGTGGAGTGCACTTCAAATGCCGTCGGAATCTTTCGATTGTCGCTCGTATACAATCGAATTTGAAATGCATTCTAAGTATTCGAACAGCATTCTTACAAAGCTATAAGAATTTTGGACAATTTGAAATTCCCTACCAAATGTGGCTGGTTGGTTCTACTTGATTTATGCTGATTCCGAATAAGTGTGACGGGGCCTTAAGACACTTTCAAAATGAGAGTTTGCGATTATGTATAGACACATTTTTCAGAACTATTGCCCAATTTAAAAGATGAACCGTTTTAAATTAACGTTTCATTTTGTCTTAATGCGTCGGGATAAGTTTACAGAACTTGAATAAATGACAGATCCAGGTCATGTTTATCGACGAATATTTTCTTCCAGGACATAATGATTGATGTCGATATCAAATGAAAAACTTTTATATCAATTATCTTTCCTACGACCTTTTTTTTTAAAAAAAAAATCCAGAAGATTTATTAGTCCGATAGAATAATAAATGAAATTATTGTGTTAAGAATCATTTTTTTTTTTTTTACTGAAACTGACACAACTAATACTTCAAAAGATATTCACGTTGCTTACATGTAAATGTGTAATTCGAAACCTCTGAAAATATTTTCATAAACGGTGGTTTCTGTTACATGTTGTACATGTCTCTCAAAATTTATTATTTCCTGAATTAGCCGCCAACATAGTTATTTCATTCGCCCACACAGAAAAGTCTAGGCATTTATGTTCTGGCTCAGCACTTTTACGATTTAACATTGATATTCTGCTTGGGAAGATATACAACCTCACATTTTGAAGAATAAATTCAACACATCTACTACAGCACTCAGTGGCGTAGTCGCTACGTGCGAGCGATGTAGACGCGTCATTGCAAGGCGCACATTCTTGTAAACGAGAGGATCATAAATAGGACAGAATCTAGAGATCTGCTTGTCAATCCTGCCTATTTTGTGACCACAATGATGACATAATGGAATCGATTGCCCACGTAGAATCTTCCCCTTTGCTATGCCACTGGCAGATGTATAAAACAAAACAAATCTTACACCCTGAAGTGCAGAATGGACGCATCTACTGCAATACTACAGTACCACACAATTCCTACACTCTGTAATGTAGATCCGACGCAATACTATATTACTATGCAAATCCTACATCTCGAAATGTAGACCTTACGCATCTACTGCAACAAAAATCCTAAACCCCGCAATAGCTTTAGCTCAACACTATCCATTACAAACACAAATTATCGGTCCATTCCAATCAATAGTCATGTTGCCATGTTCCTGGTGTCCAATATTTGGGATACAGTGAAAATTTCACATTGGCGTGTACTATAATATGCTCCAAGAAAGCCATTTGTAATGAGGTACCGAGATAAACGAGTACTTTGTTGAAATTTTAAACCGTACTTCACATGTAAACAGGGCTAACCAGGCGCGAGCCACTGCCATTCAATTTGGACTACTCAAAGCATTTTTCCGTATACAACTGATTAGAAATTAAAATAAATTGTTTTTAAAAAATGAACTTAAATCCGTTTATATACACCCGTTTTACCTTAAAATATGCTTTTTGGTTCATTTTTGTCCATTTTAGATTCCAAAGATTTAGCTCCTTTAAAACACAAGAAAAAGATTTGTGAATGGAAAGAAGGGATTTTAAGACACGGTAGACGATATTTCGTGCTGTATTTTTAAATAACGAAAACTATAAAATAAACTAAATGGGTTTCGTGACAACTGAAACTGCGATTTTTACCATTTGTCTTTATTTCATATTCTCTATTGATTTGGTATAGAGTGTTATTATTGTGCGTGTCATATAATTTTCGAGATGGACCGTTTCCGCCCTAGACAATATAAATATAAGTCTACCGTATTAAAAAGGTAGTGGGTATTAGTTATTTCTGAGAGCAGAATTTAATTAAATTCCCATTATTACTTGTACAGCATAGTTTATTGTGGCATTCACTCTCAGCTAAGCAAATGATATAATTAATCTAGTTAATTTTTGTATCATATGAAAGGAAGAACAGACACTTTTTAATTATTTTTGTCTGTGTAATCATTTGACTGAAATGCTAAGCAAAATCTCTTTCTATTAATCAATGACAATTAGATTTCGATGAGGTCCATCTAAAATAAATATATGTTAATGGTACATCATGAGTTCTGAAGAGCATAGAGCTGTCATTAATTTGTACTCGGGTGACAACCATGGCTTCAGATTTTGTATAATGAATTTAAACTATAAAATGCTTTCCATTTAATTGGTACTGTTTCTCACTGAACTACAGACCCCATTGTTTAGTGGGATGACAAATTTCATGAATCAAATCTGTAGTCCAATCTGATGTCCCTATTTATGACAGTTATGCCAATATAACGTTGAAGAAAATACCATTTACACACTCTGAATAAAAAGCATTTAAATAATAATATAAAAATCCAATACCGAACAACCAAACAAACGAAATTAGATTTAACGTCTTACTTCCTGTACCATCGTGCTAACGAAGACTGACAAATGCCATGTAGTGTGCCATGTCAATCAAACTGAAAATTTTCTGGAAGTTAAACAATATTATGCGTGCATTAGACACCCCATTATTCAGCACCTACACAACACAGCTGTCGAAGCCATGCATAAATCAGTAATACAAGATATTGTTAGTTCTGGCGTTTGATCGGAAATTTTAGATAATCAAAAAATCGAAATTGATCTATCAAAATGTCTGGATTTATAGGGGATATTCTTTTACATGATAATCTAAAATTTATAAAATACATGTCCAGAAAGCCACAAGAACTGGAATTTATACGCCTCATCCTGAACCCAATTTATGGAATGTGTATATTTTTGTAAACATTTTTCACTGAATAGTTTTTTGTTATCTTAGCAATCGAATGTCTGAGTGTATTCGATGAGTCTCTTTTGATAATAGAAAAAAATATTACGAATTATATAAGTGTTTCCTGGTAACCATTATGGAAATACGCCCAGCTACGTCTCGAAAAATAGATAACAATAGCCAACAGCTTATCCGAAAGGAAAACTTGGATTTTGCATTCTAGAGAAACCTGGTCCATACCGTGTGCACAAGCTTATTGGGTCATATAGCACTGGACAGAAGATCCTTGAAGGCACAAAATCAACAGGGCTCATCAACTTCAGATATCTGATAATCAAATGGGTTTGTTCTCCCATGACCCGGATTGCTGACAATATTATGGGTTTGTTTTCTTATGACCCCAAAGCTCGGAATTGCTGACAATAAATTGGATTTGTTCTCTCGTAACACCAATGCAGAATGCTGACATCTGGGTTCATCCCATCAGGCTTGCAATGCTTCCATTTGAATTGTAAAAAGAAACATGTTATAAAGCGGGGCTTTTATCGCGTTCACAATATTTTCGGAAGTGGTGGTGTAACTCTGGGATGTTGAAAATCGATAAGGTTCGTCCTCATGACTCCATTGCTTCATCACACCAAATTTGAAAAAGAAATCAGTTAAAAACTGTAATCGCTATGGAAAAAAAACGTTAAAAAGTGTAGCGTCTATTGCGTTTACAAAGTTTGCGGAAAGGGCTATCGAAACTCTACAAATCGACAGGGTTTGTCCTTTTACATCAAATAAGAAACAAAATCCTTTTAAAACTAAATTAATAAAAGTCTACAAATTGAGTATATATGTGGGCGTATTCCTCCTATGTGTATTTTAAACATGTCAATCAATTTATTGTGACAAGAACTTATTCTGATCTGTAACAATTTTAGTGCTCAACTTCTAAAGAAAAGCACGTCTTCAATAGGTCTTCAATCCGATTTAAAAGGAAAAGAAGGTTCTGTTTTATTTTGTTATGCAATCAAATGAAATATGTTATAATTATATCTGGCCCCGTGAGCCATAGTCATTACCTTAAAATATCGCTACAATATAATAACACATCCAACAAAGATAATTGCAACGTGTTTTCAGCACCTTTGTAAAAGATCGCAGATTGGCCGTAGAGACTTTTGGTCCTGCAGATCCAAATTTTATTTTTACCCGGTTTCTTGCGGCTGTTCTACGAGCTACCAAACCCAAACGGGTCGTAGGGTTTTGTGTAGATCGCAGACCTGCCGCAAGAAACCGGGTTAATTATTTTATATATCAGTTACCAAAGGTCTCTACGGCCAGTCTGCGATCTTCTACCGTGTCTCACCCACGGATTTACTAAAATATCCCCGTAGACAACCCGTATTAGCACGCACGGCGGGTTACGGGCTAAGCTTAAGGCTCCACCAATGCATGTACGATTGCCATGGAACTTGAGATGCTTGTTCCTTGGACAATTGACCGATTTTGATTTTTGATGTGACGTCACTATTCCAAAATGTCGACGATGGCGTTCATGTTCGGTTAATTATTATTACTTTTCTTATTGATTTCAGTTTCATTTTGATGGATTACGATTGTTGTATACAATTGGTTATGGTATATCGCTGGGATCATTGATAATAGCTGTTTTTATAATGATGTGTTGCAGGTAGGTGTCAATTGTTAACTAGATATATTTAATTGTGACGTATTGATCTATTGTCTACTGAAAACTGAAGTGGGGTTATTTATGTAGATACTAGAGATTGAATGTTCCGGAATTAAATTCTGTCAATCCCACGAATAGTGACAATCAAGAGTAATTTCGGGCTACACCTCATGCGTCGACTTATTAAGAAAATATCCCAACAGTCACGACAACCGAAGCATTTAATTGCGTAACGATTCTACTCGGATATCAAGACTGCAGAACTGTGACATGACTGAATTCCGTGTTACTCGATGGTGCGGCCGTAACATGCCTTGAAATTGGGAATCGTCTCACACTCTCTTTAATAAGGTGTTTATAAACAACACAATAAAGAACAGGCGTACTTAAATTGTTTTTGCTACCATCAGTTAATATAATTAAAGCCATATCGGCACACCATGGTGCAGATAGATTTAATAATCTTTGGTTTTATATTTTGCCAGATAATTATATTAATAATAGTAAAATTGCTTATTATAACTTCCTCTCATGCATCAATATTAAATTTGTGTTATCTTGTGTTGAAAGAATTTAACGTAATTATCTTCGCTATTTTCCATTAAAATTGTTTTTTGCACGAGTTCTTTTAATATACACTTACTTTTTCTTAAATGACTGATGAAGGTGTTTTCATAAACAATAGATGTCCACAAAAGAACTGCACTGGAATTTGATGAAGAATGGTCTCCTTGCATGAGGAATCATGCAAAAACCTAACCTCATAATGGCCTTTTATTATAATTTGTAATGAATCTAATATATCATAGATTCATACTGCTTTCGGTCTAATTACTAATATAATACGAAAAATTAACTATGGTAGCACCATGGGTCTTTTGTCAGACTAGAAAGCGGCCCGCGTACTAATACCGGTCACCACATCTTACGTATGACTCGTGCATCTTTTCTTTCCGCATATCTTAGTAGCCTTGTGATCGTCTAGTATATTTACTTGTCTTCTTTGCTTCCTTTTCACGTTGTGTATTCGCTTCTTCTTATCTAGGTAGTTAAGACATTTGTCTTACCGGGAATAAAAATGCATCAGTTTGTTTTTATATTTTATATCAAGCACTAATTACATACGATGCAGGTATAGATTACAATGAAGTCATTCTCTCAATTCCAATGCAACCATTCGCTGGGGCGAGTCTGCTGATATAAATTGCCACATCTTCTTCCTCTGGAATCAAGTGGCTGTCTAACGAATGCTCAGACGTGTAGCTTTTGGGTGTGGGGGGGGGGGGGAATCACGTGGCTCGCTAGCCTGGAGGTCGGGTGTTCGATCCCTGCATTGACCGAGAAAGTTCATTCCGATTATCCGGCGTGGTTTCCCCTTGTCAGTGATGCAGGACGGAGGGTCTGACAAGGACAGCTGTCTAGTCGTTCGGGTGGGACGAAAAACCGGTACCGTGTACACATTGGGGTGCACGTAAAAGATTCCTTGGCAGTTGGAATTCGATATAAGAGTAGGACGTAGCGCCGCTGCCCGGGCAAAATTTCCCTCATAGCACACTGTATTACGTATGCCCGTCTTCGTTAGCCCAGGTTAGGAGCAGAACAGTAGGACGTTAAACCCCATTTCATTTCATTTCGTGTGTAGCTTTGGGTTTGGATCTTCAGTTATTTAATTAGTAAAATATGACGTAATTAATTATAACGATTGGTTAATTAGCCTAATGACGTTGAAAACCACGTAGCAATATAGTCGTGGCGACATTGTTTTTAAATTTATAGACAAAGAATAGAGAAATAAGATGACTTTATATTTCATTAATTAATATATTTGGCAAATTAATAGTTTCACACATATTCACATATATATTATATATAGTGTGTACTTAAATCAACTGAGGGTATAAATGATATATTGTTATATAAAAACGAGTTATCTAGCCAAAACATGTGTCTATAAAATACCACAGAGAGCACATGTGCAAGGAAAAGTACTATTGCGTCATTGGGTTTAATTTAACCAATCATTTTGTTAATTACACAAGTTCAGGGCCATGAACACGCTCTGTTATGCGTGATATACGTGAGTGCTAAATAAGATATCTATTTGAAACTTTCAAGCAGACTTCCATTAGATTCCAGAGAGGTTCCATCTGAGTTCCTAGACAGCCGCGAGGCTGGCTAGGGTGGAGAAATGGTTTTAGCTAGTATTGTAATCTGTGCTATGCTTGTATACCTGTATTCGGATATGCTATATAAAATGTAAAAACGAACTGTTGCATTGTTATAACTGAGAAGACAAACGTCCTAAGAAACCAGTAAGAACCAAACACACAACGTGAAGGAGAAGCAAGGCTAGAGACAAATTCTAGACGAACACAAGGCTACAGAAGTATGTAGTAAGAAAAGATGCATGGGTCGTATGTAAGATGTGGTGACCGTTTTTTTTAGATAATGGGAACATACACCAGAGGTTTCACACGTGATATTTTGTTTGCACATAGAACTAGCCATGTTTTAGTTTTGTAACTCTCTTTATGTGTAAATCTGTCACTCATCATTTGAGTGCACGGGATCTGACTTCTATAGAATGTGTGAATCCAACAATTAGTTAAAGATACAATACAATGCTATTAGTAATTTAAAGAGCAAAAATTTTAGCAATAGTCTTATATTCTTCTCTTTCTTAAAACTGTTTGCTCGGTATTAGGTAAAAGATCCCTTGAAAACCTTTACAACAACCACACCAACACCTATAGGATTACATAAGTATTCAGGTAGCACAATTCGCGCAATCGATATTACACTATTTTATTAAATCGAAAGTATATAAATTTTGTGTATAAAAAAAAATAAAGAAGATTTGGATTTTGTTCTAACCGATGCTTTCCTCGAAGGTGTGCACCCACAGTCTGCACATATTCATCTGATGTTTTATTTGAATTATTTATTTTTTGGAAATTTCCCATTTCATAATTAAGACCACCCAGATTAATGAATGGTATAACATACTGTGAAAAAATCAGTCCCAGGGGACAAAAAAAAATCATTTTATTCAACTCAGAAAATTAGGTGAATTTAATTAAATTTATGCCTAAAATAGAGCAGATCTGGAGATATTTATCGTACTTGCTTGATGTGAAATGTCAAAAGAGAAAGCAGATGCAGACAATTTCATTATTCATCTAAATCAAAGAGATCCGTTGGTGGTGATCTGAATTCTGGTTAATTATTGAGAACGTCTTCGTCGCCCGAATCTACGTATATATTTAAATCATTAACGTGTTACGAATAGCTCCAAATACTGATATATTTATATAGATATGGTTCTCAACCATTTTTTGCCAACGGCACACCTTGCAATATATGAAAAAATAACGACACTCCTTGCTAAATATATGAAAAATATTTGAAATTTTACAAAATAAAAACAGACGACATACAACCGTAGACGCACAGAATGCCTCGAACTAAATAAAGAAAAACACGACTATGAACTCACTTTATTGCAGTGTTTCGAATTTCATCAGTCAAATAGCTAGCTTTTCTTGGTGTGCCGTTCAAAATTTCGTAGAACAATTAGGAAGATTTCGTGTGCTGCGGCACACTGGTTGCGAACCACCGGGTTATAGTTAAAGCCACTCTCATGTGTTAGATATTAGAAATAAAGTTGTTTTAGGGAAGAAAAATAGGGTTTTGCGAGAACTTTCTGCTTCATTAAGCTTCTTCGGGCAAACTTTAACAATTCGCATAGTAATCGGGGGCATCTCGGACAGAGTTGAGATTTTTGAACTATATTCGTCGCTATGAAAGTCCTAAAAAAGAAAATCTCTGAATCCGACATTCTGTGGATTTGATGTCGACCAGAAGCAGGTTGATGCTCTTTTCATGTTGACAAATTTAACCATTTTATTTTTTTAAAACTTTATGAAAAAGTGCAAATTGGTGGCTAGAATCAGATTGTGTATTGTTGAAGTCACAACACTAGGGACCCTGCACGACTTACGCATGGCTGAAGAATCAAATGTCTGCAAACCTCTCAAGGATACATTTAAGTGCTTTAACGTCTGAAAATAATCATTTGTATTTTGTTTTAACATGCCTGACTTGTCCTAAAGATGTGTGACAATAAGGAATAACTAAAATGAACTCCGTGAAAGCCGTATGGAGGCCTTGAAAAAGATAATCTCCGCTAAATTTTGTATTTGGTATCGGCCATTAGCAGATTGATAAGAAACAAAAACCTTGTTTGACGAGCCCGCGTGGTTAATGAATTTGTGTTGTCCTTTTATATCTTCTACCTAGTAACTTTGACAATGTAGGGTATAAACTTAATCCTTATAGAATAATGCGTGATGCCACTTCTCATTTGAGCTTTCCATATGACTACAAGTTTGACAATGTAGGGTATAAACTTAATCCTTATAGAATAATGCGTGATGCCACTTCTCATTTGAGCTTTCCATATGACTACAAGTTTGACAATGTAGGGTATAAACTTAATCCTTATAGAATAATGCGTGATGCCACTTCTCATTTGAGCTTTCCATATGGCTACAAGTTGCTGTTCTCTTGCTGTTGACCGTGCTTTAAGAGTCGGGTGTATTTTCTACTCGCTAGGCATGGTATGTTTACTTCTTCTAGAACACTATTGCACGGTTAACTAATTCGTATACTCCGTTCTTAATCAGCCGTACTGATTTTACCATCATTGTAAAAACCAAACGCAATATTTTCCCAATATTATTTCTTAATTTCTAATCAATCGATAATTTATCAGGCTAATAACTCGCAATATGTATTACCGAATGATATTGATTTAGCTAAAAAAAAATGTGATTTACAAAGATAAATAGATGTATCAACCAGTAATAATTTGTTATTAGGTCGAAAGAACCAGTTGTCTGAAAAAATGGCACCTTTACCGGTTGTTAGTCATTAGGCTTTAAACTCATATGCATACACATTCCCAGTGATAATGATAATCTCTTTTTTTTTTCAATGTAAATTGGCCTTAGGTTTTTTATTGCTGTCAGATCTTCCAGCTTTTATATTCTACAGGTGGATTTAATGTTTATAATGGTTGTATAAATCAGTCGACGGATTCTGTTTTATAGACTTTTATACTAGAGCTAATAGATATGTATAAAATATAGGAAGGGATAAGATTTGTCAGTAAGGGGAATTTATTGTGTGAATAAAATGATATAGTTGCCGAATAAGCGTTTAGAATGTAAGGTTTGTTCTTAAATTCATTTTATATCACGGTTCTCACAGATTGGATATATTTTGGAATAATTTCTATTTTGTTTTATTGGGGTAGATTATCCGGTTTTCCTCCTCGGTGGAATACCTTAATCCAATACCAAAATTATTCTTGCCAGTCTTTGTCCGTTCTCTTTGTTGTTCTAAGAGTTAAGGTCCGCTTACACTTAGGGTTATGTCGTAGATAAGTGTTTCCCAAGACATGATAGGTAAATTGTGCCTGTCACCGGTTGCTCCAATCCATGAACGCGACTCTTGGAGACGATTGTCAAAATTATTCCGGCCCGCTGGGATGATGACAAGTAAATAGTGATTGACTCGAATTGCCACCTGCGCTTCGATCGAGAAGTGCTTGATACATGGTCAGACTGTACTCTGGCTGATCCATCAGGCTATCTTCTTTATCGGCTACGTTATTTCCTTGATGTACTGATTTGACCCTACGGTTTCAGGAAGTCCATCTGTGTAGAACTTGTAACCATAACAACATATTTGATTGTTAGACAATTGTTTTTTGCACCGAATCGATTATCCAATCTTTTTCTAGGGCTTTGATATGGAGACTGGCGAAATGATTGATCAAGTTAACGAGTACGTTGTAAATATCTGAAATAGTTTTGGGGCCGAGGTATTCCAGTGGTAAGGGCATTAAACTCGACTAGAATCTAGGGAATATTCAAGCCCTTTTAACACTTACCAAGGTTTGACAAGTAAAGTGTTGCCTAGTCCTTTGGATAAGACGATACACCACGGCCCACATGAAAAATAATCGTATGTTATTTTTAAAATTATTGTGTTGGCGAGCCGCATTTTATTTTATTTTTCTGGTGATTGTATTAATGAATAAAAGGTTATATATACGTCATGCCTGTCACGTGCTAGTACCGTTTCAAGATTCATCCATTTCTGCTGCTTCATAACCGGAAAAAAAACATTTGTTCACCTGCAGTCTGTGATATAACGTACAGTTTTCCCTGTAAGGCAGTCATACTAGATATTACTTGTTTATTCTGTGCAAATGGCTCGAATTTCTGTTGCCACTGAAGCCCGATATTATTTGAACGAACAAGGGATAGTTTGCATGTCTCATGAGCGACTAGTATGTTTCTATACGCAACCGCATAAGAAAGGTACCGGTTGCTTTAAGTAAATTTGGCTATGAAAGTTTCAGACAAAATAAATTGATGAAGATTTTTGTTTTACCTTCTTTTTTTTAAAAAAAAGAAAAATTATCAAAGCATATCCGGTGAGTTTAAGACTTCATCAGATGATGGTGCCAATACTGTTAGTATGTTCAATCAGTGATTTAAAGTCGCATGGTCAATGATCCGATTGTAACTGTCCTTAAATTAGTCCCACACAATTAACTTACATTTTATGAACAATTTTATCTCTGATAAATACGATCTGGTCCATAACTATACAACAATAATACTTATGCCACTGACCATTTTAATGGACTTTTAACATTACTTATAACCATGATCGCGATTCGAGATTATTATAACCATGATCGCTATTCGAGATTATTGTGACCGGTGATAAAATAAAGAATGAAATAAATCCTATCAATACAATTTAATGTTCTTATGAAAGTACGTATCTAACAATCTATTTCGTATTGCTTATTAATTCTTGTCCATTGCGTATAGTGAATCAATAGAATATTTTAACTTTTGACTAATAATAATTATGTGGTATATTCCAAAGTATAGCATAGGAACCGTCAGATCCATTATACTTAACCATTGGTCTAGATCCTTGATGACATAATTTTCTATATCCCGTCTGACCAGTTAGTGAATGACTTGTATAGACGTTCTAATGGCCATATTCACCCCCCCCCCCCCATAGTCTTAACTGTAAAAACTCCAAACATTTTAACACTTAATGATTGTTTGTAATCATTCATAATTTAGAAATAAAATATTTTACATTTAGTTATTTTCTATGTGTGTCTTTCTTGATATTAATATTTGGCGCTTAGTTTATTTCTATCTGCGCCGTGCTTTTTATTAATATTTGACGCTTCTTTTATTTTCTATCCCTGTCTTGCTTAATATCAATATTAGACGTTTATGTCATTTTCTATTTATGTCTCGCTTGATATAAATATTTCATTTTTAACATTTAGTTATTTTCTCACCGCGCTTTGTTTAATATCAACATTTGACTTTTAGCATGTAATTATTTTCTACTCGTGTCTTGCTTGACATTAATATTGACGTTTATTTTATTTTCTATCTGCGTCTAGCTCACTTGATATTAATATTATTTGACGTTCATTTTATTTTCTATCTGCGACTCACTTGATATTAATATTTGACGTTCATTTTATATTTTCTATCTGCGTCTCGCCTGATATCAATATTTGACTTACTTTTAACGTTTTAAGTACGCGTTTGGCCAAGTAAGAATAATATAAACTGTCCTTATAGCATTGTACTGGTTACTGTAAACCAATTATGTTATCTCCCCGGTTCAAGGAACGGGAAAATGGGGAATATTTTAACGTTATCTCGGGGTCCTGGGGTTTCATATGGGTTAAATGAAAGCAACACAAAATCTACTGCAATGTTCCGAAGACGAAACATAAACAACAAACAAATTCCTCATTAACTTTGGTAAACTTTTTCGTTTCAGTCGATTGAAGTCTAAAAGCAACACTCTTCATCTAAATCTCTTCTTTGCCTTCATGCTACGAGCTGCTCTCTCGTTTCTTAAAGAAGCTCTGTTTGTCAATGGTGTTGGTTTTGATAAAGACATCAAAGAAGAAAATGGAACCTTAATGTTTATAGAGGATGGTTGGGTAAGAATGAATAAGTATTTCTCTGTTTTCTTTGGTTGGTTTAAAAACATAGTCATTATTCGGTTAACTAACACGAACGCTTTTTAATCGACTTGCATTTCCAGTATTTATTGATTATAATGAAAAGGCTAGGATTTAGGATCTGTTCAACACTCGCGCTAAACATATCGTGAATATATTCTAATATATTTCAAAGAAACTCCGGCCGTTTTCAACTACTGGATAATTAGCGATATTGTGCAACTATTAAAGATGGCGTTATGCAGATTGAATTTAAAATGTGAAAGACTACTAAAGGGGTGGTTGCTGTTACGTGTCTACTTGTTCACCCAACACAATCTCACGCAAAGTTGTCATGTCTTTAAATTTAGGATCACTAACATATCGGAACTTTACAGATAAGAAACGCAATATATTTTAATAAAATAATCAAGATACATAGGGCTAGACTAGCTAAAATTTCTTTTCACCAGCAAAAATTCCTTTTCACCACAGACTTGTTGCTAAAGTTGAAACTGATGTTCGACTACCATATTCCTTATATTCGATGATATCACGTGCCTAATCATACCAGTTAATAACTTGTCTAAAGAAGTCTCCATGACCCATGCTGCTGTTGGAAAATTGGTTATACCTTAAAGGAACGAGATTTCCTTTAGTCTGAATTAAATATATTTATTTGTATTTTAAAGTTTTGTGGCTGAAAATCCAAGTGAATAATTAGAGGCGTCTGTAGCCGTGGGAGGTAACCGGAATACCCAGAAACAATCTTGACATTAACTTAGTCGAGTGACCCTGGTCTTTGTCTGGAACATGCATCTATTTGCATAGATAACAGGTCTTCCGACCTATACCAATCATGTCATTTTATCACAAAATACTGGACATCCTGGACAAAATTATCAGTATCGTAAATTCCATCACTAGTAACTGGACTAAATACGATTACTAAATCGCATAATTGAATCGCTGGTCATCATAGAGTCATTTTAAACTTGATTAGTTCGTCCGTTATAGCGAAACCACAGGCAAAAGTAACCAACAAGCACATGCAGAGATGGCACAGATGGCATTTCCGAATGCCTGTCGCTGAATTCCTACTGCCATGGGTTCTTTTACGAGCACGCCAACTTCCATACGGGTCATCGGTTTTCGTCTCATTGAAACAACTAGGCGTTTAAACAATTTATATAAAAATGTCGCAAACATTACAGATGTTGAGATAACCCCCACCATACTTGTGTCATATTATTAGGTAAACTTTAAAAATAGAAAATTAACACACATGTGTTTATTGATAATCAATGTAAATCGATCAGAATAAAGTATTTTTGCATTCTTCTGATTTTTTGAATTGTACATGATTAAAAAAATCGTTATTAAAAGGTAATACTATGAGTCAAAAGATTACTTTAATCGATTATCGATATAAATTACAGACATAATTTAATGATTTAGTAAACGGGCTATAATTATAATAATTTCAATCTGCTTATAAACTTAATTAGAAGGATTCGACTTCAAGCAGGAGACTGTCTGACCGACAAATAAATATCCATAAGCCTGCATGAATTAAAGAAAGTATTTACTATGAAAGATATAATATGCCAAGTCAAATAGGTCATCCGTATTTCTACAATTGACGGAGAATCGCGTATATTTTGGTGCACACGGGCTAAACGAAATTTTGAAGAGGCATATGACATAAGAGTTATGTTTGTTGGACCAGTAATTGGTTCCCAAGCGCTACATATTTTGTTCTTATTGCTGTTCTTGGGGTCGATGCCCTTCAAAAAAGGCATAAGACTCCGCTCATGGATCTAGGATCGGCATGACACTTGGCGTGCTTGGTCCTTGGGACAATTCCACATCAATTACATCACAATTCCAAGATAGCGACGATGACGACATGCTCGGTTCCTGGTCTATAATACGCTCGACCTTATTTTGTTCATTGGGCATGTGCAGCGGGTTCATTACTATGTAGTCATAATACTTACCGACATTATCCTTTGGTAATCTAAAATAAAGCCATCTTGTGCAGTAAAGAAGTTTTAAGTTTGGCCCTAACCAGCAGCTAAACATGTATCAGCATTTCGAAATCTTGGAAGACTCTTTCCTTATCTATCCGTACCAGTAGAAACCAAGCTTGTACTTCCCCTCATCATATCGAGTCTTGATTACTGAAACAGCATCCTCACCAATAATCATACCATGAACTAACAAAACTATCCTATATAATAATGTTTCTACGACCTGACCCCAAGTTACCTTTGTCAATCGCTACATAAAGATACAGCATCAAGAACTTCTAAGATTTCTGAATCAGATACTATATAAAGTTCCTTGTGTAAAGACATTTGGCAAGCGGTTCTTTACTTATAATGCTGCTGTCGTACACGACACGTCTTTTCGAGAATACTTTCCCATGCTAGAATAATCACGCGCGCACAGATCAGACTTTAGTTTGCACTACATAAATCTAGAAATTATTATCTTTAATAATCTAACGCTGAATCGGATTCTTCATGATATTTATAAATACAGTTTGGTTGTTGCTGTTTATTATAATTTGAAATACTCATCTATAAACGAAACAATTACTCATGTTTGGCATTCAATTTAAATGCGCACATAGATGAGTGCAGGGGCTATGAAGTATCTATGGGTAAAAAAACATACTCCATGCGAAACCCAAATATGACAGGAAACCGTGAAATACTGAATAAATTTAGTTTATTTAATTGTTCTGTTCATGGGAAATTGACCATAACCAGGTTTATTTTTTCTAAACAGGGAATCGACAATTTTATGTGATTTTAATATGCGTTATATATCACTAGATTTTCATTTCGCCATTTTTATTCTCAGATCTATTAGTGATTCACATAATTGTTTATAATTTAAAATTGCTATCATTCAGTTTCAGACGGTGTTTTCTAGCAAAACCCCCTAGGTGGTATATCAAAAAGATGTCTGAGATTACATGATAATTCGGTTTTAAATTAAATTTTAGAAGAGCAAAACCAATTTTCTTTTCGATTGGTTATGAAAAAACATGTCGGTTCTAGAAACAATTTTAGCACAAGTGCGCATGTAACTACAAAATGACGTTAGATATATTCCAAGATTCTCAGTTAGGCTACACATAGCCGACAATGGCATTATGACCATGCTTAAATATTTTAGATATCATACAACTGGACTGAACCTAGCTGTCACACAAAGCATAAAATATAACGCATAAGAAATAATACACTTCTTATGGCATACCGTGGGGATTGTTAACTTTCACATTTTGTCATTTTGATAATGAGTGTTAAATATATGTACGTTTGTATGTTCTTTATTTACGACGGAGATCTCCCCTTCGCCGTTATGAACTTTACTTTGTTGGCTATTGTGACATTACTGAAAAGAAATAAAAAGAAATTGGGTTTAAGGTCCTACTGTTCTGCTCCGATTGGGCTAATGAAGATGGGTGTGCTATGAGGGACATTTTGCCCAGACATCGGCACTGCGCCCCACTCTTATATCGAATTCCAACTGCCAAGGGATATTTTACGTGCACGCCAGTGTGTACTCGGTTTTTCGTCCCATCCGAACAACACGTTGTTCATTGCCAGGTCATCTGTCCTGCACTACCGACTAGGGGGGAGGCATGCCGGAAAATTTCGATGAACTTATTCGGCCAACGCAGGGATCAAACACGGGACGTCCAGGTTAGCGAGCCAACGTCTTACTCACTGAGCCACCGTGGCTCCCTAAAAGACAAGTGTACGTAATATTTTATATTTATAAAAAGAAAATAATCTTGCGCATGCCTATATTATATGTTGGAAAATCCTTTAAAAAATGAGGGATACGCTGTGGCTCAGCGTATGAAGTGCTGGCTTACTAACCAAGAGATCCGGGGTTCGATCCCGGTGTTAGCCTAGAAAGTTCCCGGGGATTTTTCAGCGTGGTGTCTCCTGGTCAATGGTACAGAACCGAAGGGTCTAACAATGAATAAAGTCTAGTAGTTCGGATGGGAAGAAAACCCGAGGTCTCGCGCTGAAAAGTAGGACGTTAAACTCCATTTTATCACAATTCTCACAAATCATTTCTCATATTTGAAATAAATGAACATTGTCTTTTTCAGCACTGGGAGTGTCGACTATTGATTGCACTATGCAATTACAGTATATGTGTCAGTCAAATGTGGATATTTACTGAAGGTTTATACCTACATATGTTGATATATAGGACATTATATACAGATAGGAAGGGTGTTAAATTCTATATTTATCTTGGCTGGTGTAAGTATAGATTTTAATTGTCTCTTTATAAATATACTTCCTCATAAATTTCCATTTTGTTTTCGTGTAAACTTCTTCAAAGAAATAAAATTTTCCACCAAAATAATTATCGACAAAGAAAACCACTCGGTATACTTATAATTATATAATTGTCTTCATCATCGCCATACTCATCTTCATCTTCATCCTGGTCATTATTGTTGTCACCGGGAGCAGCAGCATATTGATTGCAGTCATCATCATTAGTGAAATATGGTATGTAAAGTCATCAATATATTTGAAACATGGTATCCCGAACGTCATCGATATTGGTAAAGCACATAGTATCACGAAGTCATCAATATCAATGAAACGTGGTATCACGAAATCATCAATATCTGTGAAATATAGTATCACGAAGTCATCAATATCAGTGAAACTTACAAAGTCATCAGTATTTGTGAAACATGACAATTGCAAAGTCATCAATGTGAAGCATTGTATCACAAAGTCATCAATATAATATGTCAAACATGTTAATCGTAAAGTCATCAATATACGTGAAACATGATAATCACAAAATCATCAATATATGAGTGAAACATGGTATTGCAAAATATAAAGTAATGATTTTTATGCGGAAGGTTCGTGGTGGGGGAGGGGGGGGGTGTAAATAGATAACCATTTGGAGAATTTCCAATTAGGAGATAAGGTTCCCACCATAGGTTAGGCTCATTAGACGTTACGTTGTTAAATCTCGAGCCGGTCTATATCCCGTTGAAGATTATTGTGACAAGTATATGTTTAAGGGTACAAGAGAGAGAGAAATGGGGTTTAACAAACTAAGCCATTTCGGGTTTAAAACATATGGTTCAATTTAATTTCAATAATTCACTTGCGCGCAGGGGTCTTTAGGAGTGGGAGAACCGGAGGACCCGGAGAAAATACACGAGATTAGACCGGCTACCCTACTCCTTGTCAAGTACAACCGGGGAAGCAAAACCACGCCAGTTGACTCAATGACAGACCTAATGATACAACGCGCACGCATTAACCATTCGGCCACACAACCCCCCTTTAAGGGCACGGATCAAGCAGTGCTATATCCTCGATTTATCTCGCCATACTCCATGTACAATTAGTATTGATTAGAAATGACTGAGAATTTCCAGGTTCAGGTCAACAGCCGCCTGTGACATTTGCTATAACTAATCATATTATAGATCACTTCCATGGCTCAGGTACCGTAATTGATCCAAATTTATTAGCGGTACTTGCATAAATTAGTATGAATGCAGGGCCCAATTCGCCACGTCAGAAACGATACTAATACCAGCTTGATTAATCTTTTTATGCAGGCATCCTGTGGGCCTGTATAGGCAGGGGTCTTTGGGGGGGGGGGGCTATGTGGCGGACGGTCACTTTTGGACAATTGCATTGAATAAAATTTGTTTTTCTACCGGGACATTAGAATAACACAACACATCTGGCACAATGTTATTTTTCCACGAAAATACTGTTGTTTTCTTGCGTAACAGTTGAAGTAGTTTTCATGTGTATTGTATTTACAAGTGTCGGATGTGGGCCAGATGGAACAAACTCTAACTACACTACTGCGTTGAAAACAATGATATACGTTAAACACAAATATAAAGGCGTGGACAACGGAGGTTAAATTCATTGAATAAATATAATGGTGGGGTAATATATTAATAACATAACATTTTTTATAAAGATGGACAAAAATCATAAAACAAAAAAACTGGTATCTAAATGTATTTTCAACATGGGTTGTAATTGGAATTAATATCTTATTGACCGCTTTTGTCTACAAGGTTAAAATATAATATAAAGGGTTTGTTGCATCAGTGCATTAATAATCATCTCTTGTTCAAGATGTCTACTGATTTGCATGTATGTCTCGTAGCGCCGCTGCCCGGGCAAAATTTCGCTCATAGCACACTGTATGGCGTATGCCCGTCTTCATTAGCCCAGTTTAGGAGCAGAACAGTAGGACATTAAACCCCTTTTCATTTCATTTTCATTTCTCTTGAACCAATTAGTAATTAAGTGATTCCATTCAAAGAAGGGGGTTGGATCCTTTTGTGTCGATCCCGAAGCTATTATTAACAATGTCTTCGAATGAAAAGTGTTCTATGGCTATGACTGTATTTAAGTGACAAGCTATATATGTGTGTGGGGGGGGGGGCGGAAGAACGTAATATACCGAATGTTGTCCTCGCCTTTCACTTAGACCACTAAACATAGCACAGCCAAAGAATTCATTTACAAAAGAAGAAATTATCTTGAAGGCACACATGGTAGCAGTATCTTCTTGGTCGCATCAACCCCCCACCCCCCCTACGTTGTACCAAGGCTAAAGATCAACAAATAACAACGATTAGGTTAATTGCGAATAAGGGGTGGGGGACTGGTTCCGCTTAAACAGGAAATGGCGAAAATGTAAAACATTACGACGATTATTTTTCTAGAAATGAATTATAATTTATTTCTCATTAAACTCAGAATAAATACAGATTATATCAATAATAATAAAATAATAATAACAAGTCCATTTATACCGCGCTAATTCCAAAAAACACAATCATTCTTGCAAATATTTCTCAAATAAGTATGTTTTCAATCTGGATTTAAAGGGGACTAATGATTGGTCGGCTCGAAGATTTTCAGGTAGCGAGTTCCACAAATTGGCATCAACAAAATTAAATGAGCGAGCTCCAAAGGAGCTGAGTTTATAGATTGGGACAACAAGGTTGTTCTTAGGACTTGATCTAAGATTTTCGATGGCATGTAAGGTACCATAAGTTCTCTCAGATAAGGTGGTATTTCACAGTATACGCATTGATATGTAAGAGACATCAATATGAAGTCGATTCTCGCTTGCACTGTGACCTAAGTACATGGGTGATACGGCCTCTCAAAGGAATTCGTGTTACAATCCGCGCTGCCGTGTTTTGTATGCGCTGCAGTTTATATATTGATGTTATATTAATTCCGGCAAGTAAACTATTGCAGTAGTCCAAATGGGAGGGGGCGGGGAGGGGGGTCTATGTACACTTCTCTTTTACAGTGAAACTTTTGATTTTAGCTATTTTATATGTTGCGACCCTTGGAAAAAACCCGGATAACACTCCCAGACCAGGTGTTTTTTCGTACAGCTGCTATCCAGGTTTTTGCCAAGGGTCCCAACATATGGAATAGGAAAATCCAAAGTTTCGCTGTAAAAGAGATATGATTAATATCAAATCACCATTATTACGAAGAGACACAAGACTCACCAATGGAAAGCCCCCTATCCACATCCATGTATTTGTTTGACCAGTTTTGATGATAATTCCATGTCTACAGTACACCATGTCACGTATAATTCTAAGACATCTTATGTATTATGAATGTGTTGTCTGCTTTGCGAAACCATAGATAAAGCACCAAACCCTACCCGTGACGCAGGTATACTCTTCCCAATAAACTGCTGAATTGATGATTTGCAATGCTGTATATAAAGGCCATATTATTTTCTTTAGTATACAGTATTTGTGTGTGGGGGGGGGGGGAGACGGTATATCCATTATTTATTTATCCATTTCTTCTCTTATTTATTCCCATGAATAGTTTTATATCCTGATCAGCCGTAATCCATCTGATTAATACCAATGGCTTCACTAGTCCTCTGATAATCCTTTGATTCACTAGTAATCTGATATGTATCCACCCTGCTTTTGTAGTTTTCTTGTTAAATAATGAAAACTCTAAAATAGGCTATTTATTAATTAAATTGCTATCATGATAACCATCCTCCATTAATTAGTATATGGACCACAGATATTGTATTGAAGTAAATAAATAAATAATGTGCTGTTCGGGCTGGTGTCCTGCGATGATTCGCTGTGATAAATATCATTGAATTAAACCATATTTAGATACTATTATCCATCTGAAATTTCGTCGACGTGCGTCTTAATTGGGATGGTTATATTATTTCAACAAAGGCCACACGTCAGAACTTCAAATGTATGAAAATGCTTTGAAGGAAATAATGTATAAAGTACCGTGAAATCAAACAAAAATGTTTTGATGTAGGTTTCAAAGAGGTTTGTGTCTTTTACGAAACTTTTCTGGCTTAGATATTATAGATATTATTTAGACATTTAATTACATGATAAGTCCATAATCAGTTCCCTGGATCATGGGGTGGCTTATATATTGGGAGGACTAAACAATGCCCGCCATTTTGGTCAGCACGATTGGCTGATGATTTAATCATCATATAGGTATGGATGCCGCGGTGGTTTAGTGAGTACGGCACTGGCTCGCTAACCTGAAGGTCCCCGTTTTCGATCCCGATGTTGGTCGAGAACGTTCCTCGAGATTTTCCGACATTGCTTCCCCTTGTCGGTGGTGCAGGATGGGGGGGCCTGAAAGGGGGCAGTGTCTAATCTGTCTGATCGGACGAAAAAAAACGAGCGTACAAGTAAACCTTGGTGTACACGTAAAAGAACCCTTGACAGTTGGAATTAAATTTCCCTCATGCATTGATTCATTCATCCTATAAAGTATAAATATGGTTATTTCTTTTATTATTTCAGTGTCACCATTGTTGTTTTTCCTACCATGGGTTATCGTGAAAGCTGTTAACGATAATACATTGTAAGTACCTTTAATATCACTTTTTATATCACTTTACGCGAATAAGCCGTCGTTAATATCGTAAACACATAAACTGTAACTAGAAGGTATTTGTAATGGACGACTGGATAATTTCGTTAACAGGGGGGAAACAGTGCTTGATGGATCGGTAAATACATATATTCCAGTCACGAACTGGTTGTTATTGAAAATAGTTTTGATACCAGTAATTGTACATGGATACCGATTAATAAACAGATGATGTAAATTACCCGCCTTCGGGAAAACAAAAAGGGTCATGTCATCGACTTTTAAATTTGACTTGAAGGTTGTTGTGCACATCTAAAGATATATTTATTTAGAAATAAGGGCCCATTTTCAATGTTACACTCCCGTCGATGGTTGTGTTCTCTATCCCGTAGGTGTGTGTACCCGTCTCTCCGATATAAAAATTTCGACAACAATTACAAGTAAATACATATATGTTATTTTTTATGTCACAATTCATATTGTCGTTGACACTAAAAGTAACACTGTGGTTTGAATTGGCTATAACTCCCATTGTCTATGGTCACTAACAGAAAACATTAACGTGTGTTAATCTGTTGTATATGGGTAGAATTTAGATAATGGAAGATAATAAAGGGAGAGTTTAAGAAAATTAATTAATGAAATTAATGGCCAATGGTTACTTACTGACTATTAAGTCGAGAAACGTATTTTTTAATTAAAATTTAATGGTTCTCTATTAATTTTCTTTTGGCCATGTCATCGACGTTCATTTTATAAAAAGGGAAACATCGAAATTTGACTTGTAGGTGTTTTGCACATCTAAAGATATGTCTATTTACAAATAAGGGTCCATTTTCAATATTACAATCCCGTCGATGGTTGCGTACTCTATCCCGTAGATATGTGCATGTTTCCCGACATAAGTTTTTTTATATATACTTAAAAGCAGGACCCCGCTGATCTGCTTGGAAACATCAACATCTTGGGTTTGACAATTGCTGCCAAATAAAAATAGTTATCTGCTATCCAGAGCACCTATACATATCAAGATGAAAATTATGTTCAGGGATTTAATACCCTCTTGTATATTTATTTCACTGAGTATTATTTACATTTGTATTTACCACTCCACCATATTGAATTTCAAAATGATCATCATAATATATATCTATATAAACGAAAGCATCAATATTTAGTTTCTCTGAGAGAATTTTATGGGCAATTGTACATAAATAAATCTTAATATTTACAATCCAAAATCAAACAATTTTAGAAGATTTATTTATGTTAGAAAGACATTGACACCGAGGAAAGTTAAGAACATAATTATATTCATATACTTCTTGTTCTAAAACTGTACCAAGTTAAGAAACGTTAACATAATCGTGTCATACTTATTACTTATTAGAAATGTTGTGGGGCGGGCTATTTTTAGGTCAAACAAAGCAAAATCTTTATACTGTATAATATCACTGGCGCTTTGACAAGATTCTATGACATACTCAAGGGCAATACCTCTGTCAGAAACTTATTATTCATCAGAAGGAATGAATTTAAATTCGATATGATGTCGAATTTCGCTGCTCACAAAATTCTGCACAGTGAACAAGGGCATATAAATTTCAGTTTGCTTGGATGACCACTTTTGTGGTTAGAACATAACGAAGATAACATAAAGTGAACAAGAACAATAACTCTGAAAGTTACTATCAGAAATTTTTAGACAACTGGCTAATGACGGACCGAAGTGGCGTATAAATACCACCACGTATCATTAACATAAGATATCTGGGCCCCGTATATGGTCTGTGTTCTAAAACTTGGTTGAGTTGGAAGACTTTAAAATATATAAAATAAATATATACAGTATATAATATATCATTTGGGTATTATCTATATATATATTTCGGGCAGAGAGCTGCCTTAACTTCTGTTTAAAAGCTTACTTATCTAATCTTTGATTATTTTATCATACGTAAATGTTACTTCAATTAACTTATTAAATATACACTATATAGAGATGTTGGCTGTTTCTTTATCATTTACAAACTGCTTGTTATTTATTTTCGTAAATTATCTGTTTATATTTCACCAATACAGTTGTTTTAACCTTTCATAAACCTAAAACGGTCGTACTTAAATGTTAACGATTCAAGGAAATGAAGTTTATATATATATATATATTTATGTACGAATTTAATGGAAGATACAATGAATGAATCGGTACACGTACGTATAATTAAGAAACCCAATATACCCCGTCAGCACCATTTTAAGCGGTGTCTGTGATTCTCCTGAAACGGCGAAATGCAAACGCCAAAACAGGCATAATGCGACTTGATTACAGGGATTCCTATATTTACCGTGTATTTTTTATTCTGCTATAAAATTATAACTACCGGGAAATTCACAACAAAACAAAGAAATGCCATGTGCTGATAATACAAGAAGGCGTATATTGTAAATGACACTTAATTCATTACAAAGTATGCAACAATTCAGACGAATCTGTCCATTCATATTTACGTTAGGAGAGAACTGAGAGATTAAATTATCTTGAAATCTAATTTTGGTCGAAAAACTGTAAATAATAATTTTAATTTCATCAGCGTTGAATGCTTAACACATATAAACGAATATTTAATGAATTAAGTGAATTTAAAGAACCGAAAATAGGATAAACATGCATCCAACAATGAGTCCACGTGAGAAGCATTCTTTATTGAATAATGTATAGAAATACCAGTCAGCCCTTGCGGCCATTCCGACTTAACTTTATTTGCATAATACCTTGTAGTACGTTGACCCATTGCCGGGTCACGTTCCCGTTTCACTGAAGATGTCTGAAAAATGTAAATTAATTTATCAATACGAAAAACTGTAACTGTCAAAGTAAAGATTTTTTGCCGGATAACCAGAGAGAGAGAGAGGGATAGAGAGAGATGGGTTTTAACGTCCACTCGACACCAACACAAATTAGGTAATTTCGGGACTGACATATGGTTCAATTTTATTTCAATAATTCTTATGCGCGTTGTAGCACCATGGGTCTTTTGTCAGACGTAGAGAGCAGGGAACTAAATCCTACGTACCGCCCATGCATTTTTTCTTACTACATATTTTAGTAGCCTTGTGATCGTCTAGAATTTGTCTCTAGTTGTCTTTGCTTCCCATTCACGTTATGTATTTACTTCTTGTCTATGTCTATCTCAGGAATAACAATGCAGCAGTTCGTTTTTACATTTTATACATCATAGCCGGATACATGGCTACAAGCATAGTATAGATTACAATACCAAAGTCATTCTCAAACCCTAGCCAGTCAGACTCCCTGGGGTGAGTCTGCTGATAGAAATTGCTACATCTTTTTCCTTCCAGAATATGTCTGCTGTCTGACGAATTTTCACAAGTATGATAGTTTTGTAGCTTTGTGTTTTGGACCTTCAATTATATAATTGGTCAAATATGATGTAAATAATTAGAGAGATTGGGTAATTGAGCCCAATGACGTCGAATCCCACCCTTATATGGTTAGAGGAAATTTACTGGAGAAATTTCCCACAAGATATCTGTTATCAACCTAGAATTGAATGTTTACCACATTATGACTCTTTTTTTATGTAACAATATGCCACCCATTCTCTACCTTGATTTAAGTACATATTATATGTAAATCTAATAATTTGCCAAAGATATTAATTAATTCGATGCTACTAATTTAAAGAGCAAAAATCCTACAAAAGTCTTACAGCGTAGGGGTCTTTAGCAGTGAGAGGAAACCGGAGGACCTGGAGAAAATCCACGGGGCTCGCCACTTACAACCTGGAAATCGAAACCACGCGAGTTGACTCAATGCTAGACACTGTGATACAACGCGCATGGGCTAACCGTTCGGCCATCCAACCCCCCTAAAAATTTTGAAATATCTCTCTATAATAAAATTATTAATATTAATAATAATGCGTCGTGCGTAAGACCGTGTATGTGCGCACCTGATGCTACACATACCTAGATGATAATGAACTGAAATGAGATTTAACGTCCTACTTTTCTTCAGAAGCAGGGCTAATGAAAACGTCATATAAGTGTGCTGTGAGGAGCATTTTTCCCGGGCAGCAGCGTTGATCCCTACCAACTATCAAGGGTTCTTTTATGTGCACAGCTATTTCTTACCGGGCCCTTCAGTCCTGCACCACTGACGGGGGGGGGGGGGGGGGCGGGACGTTCGGATTAATGAATTAGTGTCATGCTAAAAATGGTTACGCCACTGATGTTCCGTCTTGCTCCAGCCACAGTAGTGGGTCGTTCTAAGGACTTCCTTTGAGCAAGTTTTGTCATCATTTGATGAAATAAAAAGTTCCTGGCCTATAACTCCCTAAATTTCCAAATACACTGCACATAGCTTAACATATAATAAACCATTTCCCGTTACCACATAAATTCATAAATTTAATTTACAAATGCAACGACTACACTATATTTCTGTCGTTTTAAAAATGGCCACTGAACCAGAATTAGAACATGCACGTGATTTCACGATACCTCGAAAATAAAAAAAAAATGTTCGATAAGATAAGATTAAGATTTCAGAGTTCCACCCTTCCCTATGTGTAACATAATTTGTTTTTACAGGTACGTATGCTTAAATGGGAAGTAGTGTCTATAAATTCTCGACGACTACAGGGCCCGGGAACAAATAGTGGTTATTACATTTTCAAAACAAAGATTTAGATTCCAGGTACAACGCCTATTTTATGATTAATTTTTAGAAAACTCCGGCCAATAGAATTAACAAAGCATTATTGTTTTTGTTTTTAAGTTTTTAAAACCGCTTAATAATGTGACATTATTCTGTGTTCTCTGCGTTGTCGAAAAACATATCTGCTGTACTTTTGTAGAGTGTATATACATGTAACCTATTTGAACTTTTGTCAAGTGAAAGTGGTTTATTGCCGTAGAAAAGATTATTTTCGTTTAGTGGAAATACTTACTTTGAAAAGAACGTAATC